CCTGTAATTAGTGTGGCAGAGCACCTTTGGTGCCTGCTACTTTAAGGGCCAGAGCAGGCATCCGGACAGCCAGCAGGATAGGCCAGCCCTAATGAAGCAGCCACATGACCACAGGAGAGTCATGTGATTGAAGAAAAGGGCTGAGCAGCCTCCATTTTAGCTCAGGCCCTCAAGGTTGATTCAGCAGTCTGGTGCTGGCAGCCGGAAGAACAGTAACCAGGTGACCTGCTGCTCAGAACATTCTTGGAGGTAAGGGCAGGAGCTATAGGGATGGCAGGAGGCTTCTTGTCCCGGGGCATGACATAAAACTACACACTGCTGGGGAAAGGTGGTCTAGTAGGACTACTCATGGCAGGGTAGTTTCCCAGAAATGCCAGACCAGTTGCCTCCCCAGTGAAAGGTGAGTAGGTGTGCCCTATAACCCTAGCTCCTGCTACACAGTGGGTAATTTAGAGCAGGGACAAGCAGTGGGGCCAGGCACATCTGTGGACACCTGAGCTCATGGGGTGTATGACCCCAAGCCCCAGTGAGGGGGAAGAAAGTGTGTAGAGAGACCCACACAGAGTAGGGTGCATAGTGGTACCTGAAGGGCTGTGTGCAAGGGGTGTACAGTAGGGTCTGAACAGGCAGGCCTGAAGGGCTGCACCAGGGGGCATGTAGAATAGGGATGCTCAGGCAACCTGAAAGGCTGCACATGTGCAGGAGCGAAGGATCCCGGAGACCCCGGGGAGAGGTGTGACAGGACATCCGCCAGATCGGACCCGCCCCTGCCCCGAGAGACAGGGCTATCACTTATCTGTTGCAGGTGGGTGAGGAGAGGGGCCGAGTCAAAAGGGCCGGCGGACCACGGAACAGCGGTGGCGGAACTGGAAGTGGCCAGACAGACCGCTGACACCGGCGAAACTGCAGGAAGATGGAGGCCAGCCGCCCAACACCGAACCCGCATGTTCTGGGGCGCAGGTAAGACCCCAGCAGGGAGCGGGGCAGATGAGCGGGGCCTCCAAGCATGGAGGAACTGAGCGGGCCGGCTCGGAGCGTCTGGCTACGGTGGACCCAGACCGAGGGAAGCCCTCAGGAACCAGAGGAACGACTGGGGGCAGCGCGGCCGGAGTGAGGAGGGATCAAGTATCCCGGCGGGAGAGCAGAAGAAACCCCACGAGGGTGAGGATTTTTCCCCAGAGGGAGGGGAGAACTCCGCTCTAGATCAGGGCCGGAGGGGCCAGCGGCAGACACTCCCATCTGGAACGGGGTCGGCTTATTCCCTCGTGGACACTTGCGAGAGGGTGAACCCCACGGGAGGATTGGACTGGGGGACTATTCGGGGCCAGTGAGGGGCACCACATGGCAGGGGGCTCTGGTCAGGGTCCCGGGCCCCACGGCTCAGCAAGGCTGGAGGAGGGCCAGGGAAGGGCCCGGGAAGGTGCCAGGGGAGACGGACGGGCAGGAGGAGCCATGGGGGCAAGCAGTGAGGTTCAGGATGTCCCAAGGAGGAGGCCCAAGGGACCCGGGACCCGTTGCTCCCCATGGGATACACCCAGGGGTGATGGGTCATTCATGGCTGCCACCCAGGAGAGTCAGAGCTGCTTCCTCTGGGATTTAGGAGCCAGTAGGTGGTGGGTGTCAGGGCCGAATAGGGGGATGTGGCGTCAGGGCAGAGGCCATGGGGTCAAAGGCTGGGAGCAGCCGCGTCTCACACACATGTGACACGGAGTTGGTGCATAACGTGCAGGTCCATGCCTCCCCCCCGACCTCTGCCTTGATTTCCCCCCACCTTGGTCCCTGGGAGCTGCATGGGCACAGCCTGGCATGAAGCCCGTGGGCTGCGCTGGGCTCTGTAAGAGCCTCGTCTGGGCTCCCGGGAGCTACGTGGAGGAGGCACGTCCCCAGCCTGCGTCAAGCACCTGATGCTGTGCCAAAAGCTGAGATAGCAGCTCCAGCAGATGTTCGGGAGACGCCTGACCCGAGTGGGACCAGGCAGGGTATATCTGGGGGGGTCTCAGCAGCGCCCTGCTTCACCCATGAGGACCCAGGTTTCCAGGGCCTCGGTGCACTGATAGCAGCACTACTACATGGGCATCCCCTTCCCCATTGGGGAGTACACACCTGAGACCCTCGGCTATGCCAGCACCCACTTCCAGGTGTGGGACGTCTTCCATGTCACCTACCCCAAGTCCGGTAGCGCCGGGGCCTGGACGCCTGCGCCTGGGTTTTCTGCAGCTCTGGGAGGGGAGTCAGGGAGGCGGGGCAGAGCGTGGGGGGGCCGGGAGCCCCGACACCTGGGGTCCCTGGGAGGGGTGCAGGGTCCAGCCCATCTGGTTAAGCATCCATTAACCCTTTCCTCCCCACGCACCAACTGGGTGCTGGAGATCCTGAGCCTGATCTGCTGCTGGGGGGGACACCCTGGCTGGGTGCACAGCACGCTCAACTGCAAGCGCGGCCCCTGGATTGAGACCACGACGGGCACGAGATCACGCTGTGCTACCTGCCCCCCCATTCCAGCTGCTGACATCCCACCTGTCCATGCAGCTCTTCCCCAGCTCCTTCCAGGGCTCCAGAGCCAAGGTGAGGCCTGGGCAGGAGCGAGGGACCCTGGCGGGATGGGGGTCCCAGCTCTCAACCCCACGCTCCCCCCAACAGGGCTGTGCAGGGCCTGGCGGTCGCTGCCTTCCCGTGGGGCTGAGCCCCCTGGTCTGCGCGGGGCCTGGACCCTGGCTCCAGCCCCGGGTCAGCTCGGGCCCCCCTGCCACGGCCCCGCAGCTCCGGGGTGACGGTTGAATCACGTCTGTGGCATGTGCTGGGGGTCAAAGGTCAAGGGGGGGCCTGTGTGTGTGTATGCTGTAGATGCCTGGTTTCTGTGCGTGTGCACGTGTGTTTGTGTCATTGTATGTGCGTGGGACACCTCAGTTCTGTGCGTGTGTGCGTGTGCGTGTGCATGCGCACGCGCTGTAGATGCCTGGGTTCTGTGTGTGTGAGAGCATGTGTGTGCATGCACACGTGTGTCCTATGAGTGGGTGCTCCGTGTATGTGCGCGCACATGCCTGTGCACGTGTGCACGCCTCTGCGCTTGCACTTGTGTGCGTGCCCTCCCACCTGACATGTGAAGGGGGTGTCCGTGTGCCTGCTTGCACCTATCGATGCACGCCAGGCGTGTGTAAGTGCGCACACGCGTGTGCAGGTGTGCTCCCAGCTCCCCCCGCCCCCAGCTGCAGAGAGGCCAGGCGTCCGGCCCCCCGGTGGGCGCTGCCCGCCTGGGTCAATATTGGCCGTCACGCCGGCCCCCCCGCATCCGGGCTGGGTGCGGCGGCTGCCCGGACGCCCGGGGGGGGGCGCTGGGGGGGTCCCGGCTG